ATTTCTTTCTACACTTCAAAAGAAGATTGCACCCCCCGAGGGACCAACTGTGCTCTCTAAGGCGGGAGGATAAACTTAACACTCCGAATATCCAGACGTGGATGAGCTTGGCTGCCCTAGTATAACTAGGTGCATGATGGCTTGCGCCAGGATTCCTAGAAGTAGCCACAATGGTCTATTTCAAGGCTTAGCTAGTTGAAGGATTATGGGTCTATCGGCTTAATCCGCAGGGAACCGGGCCCTAGAAACGGAGGGGGCACATTATGCAGCACACCCAATGGGCGGCTGCTCTGGAAACCTAAAGCTGCTACCGAGTGCACTAAGGTAGCCTACGGATTTCCAGAAGACTGCCTACGGCTTGCCCTTCGAGCAGTACAACCACGCTAGACTTATGCAACCGCACATATTGTGAAAGGTTAAACAAGTTAGCGTGCACACATGAAGATTTTATCCACTGCCGACATGCTACGTAGTCGATAAGCTTCACCTCTGTCAAACGCAGAATAACCTACACCAAGTCCTAAAGTGTTGTGATACTTGCTACACAGCCTACGGAATTGGAAAGAGCCAAGGTTGAATAACCAAGTGGTTACGCGGATTCGTCTGCTTCTGTAAGTAAGGCATCCGGCTGCCAACCCTATGGTTAATAGCTTTGCAAAAGTTCTACATCAACACCTACGGCTGCATAGGCTATGTGGGCTTGTCTGCTTATAGAAAAGTAGCACGCCTGCCACTGGCTTATAAGGTCTAAAGGTTAGGGTAAAAAAAAAAAAAAAAAAAAAAAAAAGAAAAAAAAAGAGCAAGGATGGGAAAAGCAAAAGAAGCAAGTTTATTAAATTTTATAGCAAAATTGATGAACAACAAGCAAATACCGAAGGAGTTCAAGCAAAAGCAACAAAGGAAAGAAAAGAAAATCATAAAAGCTATCTAGAAGACTACTCTTCAGTAGCTTGGACATGTCCCAACTGCTCGGTCGTTACACCTTCAACAGCCTTGGTGTTTTCAGCAGCGGCATCCTCCGAATCTTTACCCTCGACTGCTCCAGCCTGGGTATCAACTCCTCCAACTATTTCACCGATAGAAGACTCAAAGGTAAAATCGAGCAAGTCTTCTGGAGAAATAGAGAAGGTCTCGAAGTCTTTACCGGAAAACTCAAAGTCATACGACCGCCCATAGAAATGATCTACATAGCCCAACTTGTAGAAATCGGCTTGGTTCTGAATAAGCGAAGCCTCGAAACCATCCTTCTCACTCTTCAACTGCTCATTCTCCTCAAGCAGGCAAGCACGACCCCGCTGCAACTCCTCAATTTCCTTCTTCAGATTGTCGTTGGTCTTCAAAACACCTTGAAGTTCTGACACTTGAGGCTCAAGCCTGTCAACAACCTTTTTGAAGTGGATCGCTTGGTTGTAAGTAGCAATCAATTCTTCATCCTTTGCATAAGCAGCAGATCAAAATTCAGATATGAAACGCTCAAGATCTTAAATCTGAGGTATGTAACGCTCGATTTCCTTCTCTGCGCTTTCATTCTTTATTTGGATTGCATCAAGCCTAGTCTTTAAATCCATGATCTCCTGGCAAGCGGCCTCAAGCTACAGAGGAGTGGGGGCAGAAGTATTAGATTCCTTCAAAACAGCAAGCTCAGATTCCAATTTCTTGATTTTTTCGGCCGAGGAGTAAGCTTCGGCAGCCATAGTTCTTGCCATCTCTTTAGCAGCCTTGGTGTCCTCTTGGTCAAGGAACATAGACTTGGCTGCCAGAATTGTTGTTTTCTGCATCATGGCTAGCAGAGCAGTCTTCCTATACTCGGGTGTGTGCTTTGCAAAAAGACTTGGACCAACAATCTCTTTGACGCCATCAACAAACTTGGCACATACATCCATGTCTTCAAGAAGTTCTGGTTTCAAAAGCGCACAAATCTTAGCAGCTTCCCCAGAAACGGCCTTGGCGGATTCTTCAAGCCTGCCTAAACGAGCAGCTTCATTCTTATCAGCAGACGAGTTGGTTGCAGCAGCGGAAGAAGCAGTTTTTGGCGCCACTTTAGCAGACAGGGGCACCTTATCACTCTTTATAGTAGCAAGCCTCTTCAAGGGTAAGCCAGGCTTAGTCCCAGACGGACGCTTCGGCACAAACTTCGGTACCAAAGGCACGGAAGAACTTTTACGCTGAGCAATTTTTTCAGCAATCGAGCTAGCAGCCTTCGAAACAATAGGCGTTACCGGCACAAATGTAGCAGTTCGTTCTTTCTTGCCTTTAGAGGAAGTCAGGTCAATCACAATCTTGGGAGCAGCCGGAGAATCCCGGCGAGCAGTCTTCGTTTTCTTCTCAGCAGGCATCTCTTGAGCAGGCGGGGAATGTTTCTTTTTCCCACCTTCATTGATAGTAGGCTCCATCACAGTGATAGGACGAGCCATCGCGTCTGCCTTGATCCGTTTTATTTCTTCTTTTGGGGGCAGCCCACTTTGTTCCCTACGAAGAGGACTAAGCAGCCAACACCACTCACGATACTCGGAAGGGATACCCAGAGCGACATGTACTTTTTTCATGTCTGGAGAAACCCTAAGAGTTGAGCCAAATTCCGAATCTACAAAAAAAAAAAAAAAAAACACACACACACGGAAGACAATCAGAAAATTGAAGAATAATTTGGCACTAAAGCATAGCAGCCGAAAAGACTAAGCAGTCTGCTTACTAGATATGAAGACCGTTGGTACACGCAGCTCGGGAGAAGAATCAGATTCCTATTCTCCACTTATCTCCAAAGTCTCTTTGGCCCAATCATGATCTCCTTTGCTCGAATTATCAAAAAGCTTATGACGAGTTCGCAGTTGTCCAACTCCATCAATACGACCTATGTCAAAGACCAAAATTTGTTGGTGGTTAGTCCCAAGTCAAAGAATTGGTTCAAACTGTGGAACCCCACCATCACTCGGACCGCATTCGAGGAACATTGGGCAGGCGCACATTTCATGGAGCAAAGCACTTCTTGGAAGAAACGCGGCATAGGGAAAGTAAACCCCAACACAAAATAGTAAGGATGGAACTTGATAGCTCTCCGAGTTCCAATGCATGGTTCCCGGCTGCTACCATCCTTAACTCGCCTTACACGCACTCCCGACCGAATGGCATGCCTAACACTTCAAGAAAATCTCTAAACAAATCGTCGAAGCTAATCTTGCGGTGAGCAGCTTTGAAGTAGCCAACCTTACTCAAAGACCCGCCTTGACGATACAACGGGGGCACACCCTCATCATTCTTGTGGCTCGAAGAAGACATGCTTGAAGATTTTACAAAAGTACAAGGAATATTTGTTAGAGAGTAGTTTTAAAAAAAAAAAAAAAAAGCTTACAAGCTTAAAGCTTAGCCGCAAGAAGCCCAAAAGGGCTTAAGGCCCTTCCATTCTCTCCTAGGGCACGGACATAAAAAAAAAAAAAAAAAAAAAAAAAAAAAAAAAAAAACTCGCAGGAACCCAGCCAAATTGCCAGGCCCCACGACTTGGCTAATCATCCACTCAGCAGCGCCCCAGCGCCCAGCAAGAAAAACAAGAAAAAAAATATATATCTATTTTTTCACAGCGTTGCCATGCCATGATTCACCAGATCAGCCCATCACAAGTCTCCGATTCCCATCAAGCCAAGAGTCAAGATCCAAAGATTCCAGAAAATCAAGAAGACAAGAAAAATAATTTTTTTTTCTTACCTAGAAACAACGAGAAGACGAAGCAAGCAACGAAGGACGGTCCTTTGCACGGGCAAGATGTAGAAAATTGCTAGAGGAGGGAACAAATATCCTCTAAGCTCTTTCTCTCTTGTAAGGTAGAATAAATTTCTCTCCAAAAGTTGATTTAATAATCTACTTAAGGTGGATTTAAATAAACTTTGAGAGGAATTTATTTCCTTTTCCTAGAATGATCTAATTTCCTATTAGAAGAGAGAATCAACATCAAAGAGGGAAACAAATTCAAAGTTTCCTAAAGCAAAAAAATCTCTACACCTGTTGCCCTTTTTTGCGAGCAGCCCAACATGTGTGGGGGCATTTGTGGAGCCAAAAACGATCACAAAGTGACACGTGGACTTTGGGACAAAAGAAGACAAAAATACCCTTAAGGTATAACGGGATTCCTACGCGCAAGTAGTGGGTAATCATCCTCAACCAATTAAAAAATGCTCCAAAAGAGGTAACCAATTCCAAACTATCTCATTTTAGGTAATTATTTCTGAAACTTAATTTCTCTAATATATTATTTAGTTAATTAATTATCTAAATAATATATTCTTCCCATATCTCCTAAAATCATCCCTTAAAATCATAAATAATTGATTAATTAGGGGATCAACTCAATTAATCCCCTAATTGTCAATAAAGTGACCCAAATTAGTAGACAAAACCGGCCACCTCCCTTTGCTCCATACCTTTTCTGATTTTCTCCACCTTATTACCCAAATAAAGCTAGTCATTCAATTTGGTAACTCCCCATTTATTTCTATCATATTTTATTAGCCAATAAAGTGGCTAATTAAACCACAAACTCACCAAAAAATAGACAAAGTGGCCGGCCACTTTCTTGGAAAAGTGGACCAACCTAGTCCTATAAATAGTCACCCATTTTTACCAAACACTCATTCCAAACCTCTTGCAAAAAATCCCAAATACTCTAAACACTATTTCTCTCTAAAATTCTAACTTTGGCATCGGAGGTTCTTCGGCCAAAGCTCCCCCCATTCATCATGGGCGTGTGAGGCTTTTGGCCTTTACCTAAGGTGCTAGTTGTTTTGTAGGTGCAAAATCGTCCAAGATCGATGAGGAGAAAATTTGCATCCACAATAACAAATTAAACCTTGCCACGCTTGCTAAGCCGGACAGAATATTCCAAGAATAGGCCGTCCTACAACAATTGACAATGAAACAAAATATTAAACATTGTATATGCTTACGATATATGAGGCAAACAGTTTACTGAATATTCTTGTAATTTTTCTATATGTCCATATCCTTTGAAATTCTCATCCCATAAAATTTGGACATATTTCAGGTAGAATTTTGTTGATTTAGGGTTTTAGCTTTGAAGAAAGTGAATCGAATTAGCCAAGCAGTCATGGAAGCCCAAGTAGAGAAAGTGCATGTTGCACTTGGAAATGAGCTGCAAAATGGATTTAAGACCTTGGCGTGGATACTGAGGAGGTGGAAATCTCAGCCTATTTCCATAGTCATTCTCCATGTAACCTACAGCATTTCAGGGAAGGATTATGTTTACACACCATGTAAGTTAACCACAAATATTGGATTTCAATCTCCATATATTTTAATTGAATTTCAGATTGGATTTTACTGTTTTTTAATTTATTTGTTGCAGTTGGCAAGCTCCCTGCAAGTTCTGTAAGTGATGAGAAATTGAAGGTTCTTAGGAGGTATGAACAGAAAAAGATGGACAATATCCTTTCCAAGTATGTAGCGTTCTGCGGCAAGGTCTGTACCAATTTCTTTGGAGTATGGAGTATGGATCATTGTGCATGGTGTTTATGGTTTTTGTGTTTTTATTAACTTTCATTTTGCTATTAGGTGAAAGCTGAAATACTTAAAGTGGAGCAAACTGATGAATCTATTCATAAGCTCATCCTAGACTTGATTTCGGGACTTCACATAACGAAATTGGTCATTGGATTTACATTCATCAAATCATCATCATGGTATGCAACAGGTTAATTTAGTCCTAGTATGTATATAAAATATAAATGCAACTTTGAGATTGTAAATCCAATTCATTTTACTTATTTCCCGAATAGGAGAACGAAGACTGCAATCAGCGTGTTATTTTACATCCACGAGCACAAGACTGAGTCCTGCGAATTGTTCATAATTTGTGGGGGAAACGAGTTATGTCTAAGAGGAGAAAATGATCAAAGAATCCAGGTGGATGGGAAAGGAGTGATGGTTGCAAAAAAGAAAGACAAGGTCAGCTTCAAATTTATGTTAGAAAAGATGTTCCTTGAAAATCGTCACAGCCTGTTTGGTTCACCAACAAAAAAGGACTCGGCCAATTTGCAAAATTTGTGGGAAAATTGTGTTCAAGAAATGGAAATTTACTACCAGCAGTTGTGTTCAAATTTGGATGTAGAAAATTGTGACCAGAGAAATGGTACAGGTACTTCTCAGCAGCCTAGTCCAACAGAGGCTATAATGTTGCAAATTAATGGGAACCCTAATATGGTAAGTTAGTAGCATATACAAATTATATCATGAGTTTCAGTACTAATATATAGAGGAAAAAGAAAAAGACTTGGATGCTTCAATAACTAATACATAAGAAAATTTGGCATATTGTCAGAGCCCTGCAGAAAAAATTGAGTTTCTTAGGAAAACAATAAGCGAAACTCGTGGGATGATAAGAATGAAGAAGAAAGAAGCCAAGGAAAATGCTGACAGGCATGCAAAAGCGGAACGGGCCATTTGTTTATGCGAGCGCCGGGTAATATTATATAAACCTGAATTATTTTTCAGATATTTCGATATGTCACGTTGTTAGGGGATATATATGGTCGCAGACATAATTTCATTTAATCGAGTGATTATTGAAAATATGATGACAGAATATGGCAGGCTGTTAGGAAAAAAAAATTAGCACTCAAAATACTCTCAAGTTGTTGATTTATTCTTTTGTTTCCATTTTATCTGGTTTAAAAGAGAAATGTTTTTATAGGCTCAGGAGTTAGACGTTCAAATTAAAGAAGAGGGTGACAATAGAAGAGAGTTGAACAAAGAATTAGACACGGAAAAAGAACAACTCCATGAAGTAGTTAACAACATTGAAGAAAGCTGGAACAAGATGAAGTCACTCATAGAGCTTCAATATGAGCTTTCACACAAGCTCCATATGTCCAAAATGGCAAAATCACAAGCGGAGGTCCAGCTAGAGAATGAAGTGATGAAACGTACAGACATGGAGAGAAAAATTGAAGTACTCCGACGAGAAAGAGATGTATTTCGACGAAGGATTGAATTTTGCAGACAACAGGATGCCACAGGAACGGCAGAAGGGTTGAGTGAATTGAGCTGCCGTCTCAGAGAGTACACAGATGAGGAGATCAAACAGGCCACCAACGAATTTTCAGAACGTTTTAGATTGAAATCAGGAAGTGATTTAAGCAGTGTCTATAAAGGGCGTATCAATCATGTCACAGTTGGTATCAAAGTTCTTAACTCGGCTAATGGACTGTCCCAAGAAGATTTTCAGGCTAAGGTAACTGCTATAAGACATGCTAAAGGAATATGCATGGGATGTGAACTTATTTGTTACAATAAATACTAGAGTGATGCTTTATGGGTGGGCATATCTTTTCATCAGACAAGTGTTTACGTGGTCAAATAGTGCATCTAAACCACACACCTGACAAAAAATCATGATCGATGATACAAATTCACAGTTCTACAACACAAACATCTTATATTGTCAGATATATAGCCTAGCAAGAGATCATTTCTTCAATCTAACAAAAAACTATGCATATGTGTAGGTGAAGCTAATCAGCAACATCAGACACCCACACCTGCTTGCCATGATGGGCTACTGCTTCCAGCCAAACTGCACTGTCTTTGAAGACATGCACAATGGTAGTTTGCAAGAAGTCTTATTTTCCTTCCATGAAAAAAAGAATCCGGCCCGGGACCTTCAGTGGCAGGACCGCATCCGCATTGCGGCAGAGGTTTGCTCTGCCTTATGCTACCTCCACATGGCTCAGCCTAAACCCATTATTCATGGCCACCTCAGCCCATCCAACGTCCTCCTCGACCACAATCTCGTGGCAAAGGTCAGTGGTTTAGGGCTCAACCAGTCCTACGACGAAAGTCATGTCGGATGGGACATACGGGCCCTTGGGATTTTGACTCTCAATCTTATAACTGGGAAGAACTGGGTTGATGAGGCTATGCTCATGGAAAAGGCAGGATTAGTTCGAGTTTTAGATGAGAAGGCTGGAGCATGGCCATTGGATTTGGCAGAAGAACTTGTGAGCTTGGTGTTAAGGTGTTTATCCGTTAACAATGGACCCAACACGGATTTAAGAATGGTGACAATAATGGAGGAACTTTGTGAAATCAGAAAAAAGGCCGATAGTTTAATAGCAAGAGGAGGATCTGGCTTGAATATTGAGGGAATTGTGCATGGAGAGGTCACCAATGAAGTCCCGAGGGTTTTCTTATGCCCCATATTTCAGGTTTGATGTTTAATATCTCACTATTTTTGGTAGACAAAAAACAATGTCGATCTCTTTTTCTGTTCGTGTCGTATTGATCATAACTGCATTTTTAACGGGTCTTTTAAACTATAACTCTTAAGCTAGGGTGGAGAATGCTCGACCCAAAACCAAACTGCTTTTGAACAGTTCGTTTAATGGGTGACCCTTCACAATAAAACTTTATTTTTAACCCTTTTGAACCAAAGATCTTATGCATGATTCTCTCCGGCTCATCATTTTTCATGAGTGACCGGTTATTTTTTTATTGTCTTTTGATACTTAGGAAAGCAAAGTTCTATGATATATACATTTTAGAACAAAACAAGTGGAATATTTAAGGCTGGTTTGGTATTGCTGTGCTTTAAAAAAAAACTGATTCTGCTGTGCTGTGAGAATAAACAGTTTGAAATAAAGCAGCAGAGTATTTGGTAAACTTTTTTGTAAAAGAGTTTTTGAAAAAAAAATTAATATTATAGTATTTGATAAATTTTTATGTAAAATAGATGTGAAAAAAAAGCTGGTTTTTCAAAGCTAGGTTTTGTTGCCTTGTGTTTTTGGCTTTTTTTTCACCCAAAACTGTAAAAAAAAACTGAAGCTAAATGTTTACCAAACATAAAAAAGCTCTCAGCTTTTTTTTATAGCCACTTTTTTTCAGAATCACCTCAGTATCAAACCAGGGCTAATACTGTATATTACACTAATGTGTCCAACTGTTATCAAACTAACTACCTTGAAATTGTAATTTGTCATGTGAATCCGAATTTTGAGTCCAGACTTAGTGAAAAAGAAGGCTTAAACTTGTGATATAGTTAGAGTATCTCCAACAGCCTAGTTATTCCAGATTGCTTAACTATTTTAACTGAAAATTTTTCAAAATCAATCTCTAACAAACTAGCTATTCCACAAATTAAATTAACATAATGAACGGTTGCTGGCTAAATTTAGCTAAGTAGAGACAACTTTTCAGAAATTTAAACTTATAATGTATTTAAACTTTTAGCGTTCTTTCTTTACAAGTTGCAACCCTCTATTAATTTGGCATTCACAAGGGCTTGACCCACTTATATGAGCATGCTAAAATTTTAGTATTTGGGTGCTTGGCCCGCTCAATGTATGAACATACATTTTTTCTTACTTGAGCAATATTCGATCTAGACTAATCTTAGTTCCAACGAGAGAGATTCGTAGAAGAGGAGTATATTGTTTTAGTAAACTTTGATATGTTCAAGTCTGCCAAACCTACTTTATTTTACAAGAGTTTGCAACTTCTATTTGTAGAGACCACTTCTATTGCTGTTCAAGAGTAAAGAATGATACAAATATGTGTTATTTTGGATGCAGGAAGTAATGAAGGATCCACATATAGCGGCTGATGGATTTTCGTATGAGAAAGAAGCCATTGGAGAATGGTTGCGACTGGGGCACGATACATCACCGATGACAAATTTGAAGCTTGAGCACAACACTGTAATCCCTAATCACACCTTACGGTCTCTCGCTCAAGATTGGCATTATAAAAGATCAATTCCATATCCATGAATTGTGACGATCATATTTTAGAAATTCCAATGGACATAATATCTTTGTTGTACATATTTTTAGCAAGTGTGTGAATTTTGTATTGTGTAAATCGTATTATTGATGTATTTCACTTAATCAAAACAACAATAAAGTATTCATTTTTAGTGAAAATTGTATGATTGGATTTAATTACTATTTATTATTTATTATTTTCTTACGATATGGGTATTTGTGAAAAGAGAAATATTTCTAATTTTCAAGAAGAAATAGTCATTCTTCTTAACATTCAAGCATATATGTAAGTTATGAACCCTAAATCCTAACTCGAATCAAAACTCGCCATTTTAAATTTCATCCAAATGGAATCCTAATTTGTTTTATATCAAGGCCCCAATAGCCTAACCTCTTACATGTCCTCCACTTCTATTGCAAAATGATAAGAAGAGCAAACACTTGTATAGTGCCAAAATAGTTTCAGGACCACAACTCTTACTGATTGGAAGCTCCAAAATTATTTATTTTATTGTATTTTATAACTCTAACCATTAGAAGATAAATGTACGAATAAATGGATCATGTAAATAGAGAAAACGAGTATCGTGAAAAACTTCAACCGTGTAAAATCGCATGAAAAAAAAAAAGGCTCAACTAAGAAAAAAGAGACCCACGTACCATAATAAAAAATTTAAACATAAACCACCACATTTTTTTCAAATGGGGACAACTGGTAACAAGCCACGGTTATCCATCCTTTTCGGGAGCTCGGAAGACTCACAAAGTCCTTTCAGCCTCCCCATGGCCGCAAGTCTAGCTTCCACGCCAGCAGCGGGTTTCGAACCCGAGACCTTCAGTTTTTAGTTTGAAGGAAGCCTCGCAATCCGCTATTTACCACTAGACCACCAACTTGTGGTTAACATAAACCACCACATTGAGTCTATTCCAAACACCATCCATGAGAGACAAAACTAAACATACATGTTAGAAGTGATTTTCTTCCGTACTTAAATTACAAATTTAAATTTAGAAAGATTGCCACATTATTTTAAAGCCAATTGGATAATCTTGAAAAGAATTTCAAGAAGCATATTCGTAAGGATTCAGAGAAGCTGTAGGTAGATTACGAACATATCATTGTTCCTCATCATCCCTAAATTATATTGAATTATTCTGAATATACATTATTATTATAGAATGCTAGCCGTGCCTGTAATTGGCTTCTTTTATTGTGTAAGGTGTTAATGTGACTCGCACAACAAACTATATAATTGCATTATCCTAATTAATATTATTCATCGCACAACAAATTATATGATTGCATTATCCTATTTATTATTATTCCTCTCACAACAATCTATATAATTGCATTATCCTAATTATTATTATTCATCTCACAACAAACTATATAATTGCATTCCTAATCATTATTATTCATCGCACAACAAACCCTTTGGAACATGAAATTACATCAATAAAACGATCTGTATCGTAAGTTACTTACAGTTTTTATGTTTTACCCTTTTGAGTTTCTCTCTCACTATTTATTGAGATATATGTGTGGAGCCAAAAATAATCAAGAGATGACACGTGAATTTTTTGGTAAAAATAACAAAATTACCCTCGAAGCACACCGGAATTCCTACATGCGAGCAATGGACAATCATCCTCCAATCAAGTCAAAAGCGCCCAAATTTATATTCTATTTCATCCATCCCTCATCATATCCTCTCCACAAGATAACCTCTAAATCATTCCTTTTTTTATTATATTAATTAGCTAAATTAATTGATTAGTTATTCAATTAATTAGCCAATTAAACACAAATCGTGAACCTAGCCCACAAAACCATCCAAGTGGCCGGTCCATCCCTTCCCAATGTGGCCGGCCACTCCCCTATATAAACCCCCTCATTCTCTCCAAAACTCAACTCCAATTCTCTTGCTAAATTCCCTAAATTCTCCAAACAATTTTCCCTTAAAATTCTAACTTTGGCGTCAGAGGTTCTTCGGCCAAAGCCCCCCCCCCCCCCAAATTCATCGTAGGCTCGTGAGGCTCTTGGTGTTGACCTAAGATGTTATTTGTTTTGTAGGTGTAATTTTGTCCAAGATCAAGGAGGAAGAAATTTGCATCCACAAATTGGTGCTTTCATTGAGAGTTGAGTCCCACACTCGTAGAAGACTCTCGCATCCAAGGTTTTCTATTTTCTTGTCCATTTGTAGATTTTTCGTACATTCCTATTTTTAGAATTTTTATTTGCCAAAATTCTTTGGTAAAATGTAAAAGAAAAGTACAATGACAAGAAATTTGGAAACTTCAATGAACAAAAATTCCAATGTTTAAGAGATAGGACCACGGCAATCCACAAGGCTAAACGTGACAATAAGTAAAGCGGCACCACCACCACAAGGCTCCACCATGGCAACCACTACGGTGGCCACCATGGTAGCCACCCACGACGAGGTCCATGGTGCCACGACCACGGCCCAAGCCGTGTCATCCAAGCTTTCCGTGCCATCCAAAGCCCACGACAACAAGGCCACGACCCAAGTCATGTCACTCCAAGCCCAAGGCAAATTAGCCTGTGCTGCCCAAATCCAACACGAGCCCAATGCGTTGCCAAGCCAAGCCCAAGCCTCGCACCTGCATGCACCACACACCAAGCAGCCGACTCTCGTGGCCCAGCCTACTCTCATGGTTTTCCAAGCAGCCTAAGTCGGCCTAAGATTATCTTAACCATCCGGACCTACCACCGAGCCAAGGGCATTTTCACCATATTTCTCCACGGATTTGACATTTCCCAACACAAATCTCGCGCTTGGAGTCTACCACCTTTCCACTGCTCAATGAGGCACATTTATTCCAAGCTCGTCCAATCTGAATGGCAAACAACACTTGTCCCCACAAGTCATAGAGTTGACGAGCGCCCTTGCACAATAGACGACCTTAGTGAATCAGCTCTTGCAACCCACCGAGATCCAGCGTGCCCCAGACGAGGAGTCCCAAAGTAGGACAAGGGCAGACAAAGAACCTCTCCAGTAACGTCCTTGCAAGCTGCCACTCGATCAACCACGAACTAAGCGTTCGGTAGTGTACACTCTCGATTGGGCCCCCGACATAGCGTATACTCCTGTCTAAGCGAGCAGAGGAGCGTGCACTCTCCATTAGGCCCACGGATGAGCATACATTCATGGTTGGGGCCACTCTCCGATAATCAACATGGACAACCTTATAGGCAAAGCGTCCATTCGCAACTAAGCCCGCAAGAAGCGTCATCCACATCACATCAGAGTAGGTAGCATGACGAATGGAGAGAAGCAGTCACTCAATCCAGCTCAAGTTTAACCAGCAGCCTACGAAGAATTCCCTTGCCTGCCAGGAATGGACCACATACACTGCCGCCGCAACATAGACAAGCCGAGAACGTAGAAGAGTAGCCTAGACCAATAGGTTAAGACCAGGGGTAGCCGAGAGCTCCGCTACCCCCAACAAAGGTAAATTTAGGAAGAGGTAGATAAGCTCATCAACAAGCGATTGCGTAATTTCCAATGCAACGAATGGGCCAATGAAGCACTACGACGGGATATGACCAACATGAGCAGGTCACCCTTCATGGACGATGTGGAGCCAAAAATATTCACTAAGTGACACGTGGACTTTGGGACAAAAGAAGACAAAAATACCCTTGAGGTATAACGGGATTCCTACGCACAAGTAGTGGGTAATCATCCTCAACCAATTAAAAAATGCTCCAAAAGAGGTAACAATTCAAAACCTATCTCATTTCATATATTTTTACCTCACTTTCCTTCCTAGCCAAATAATTAAATAACCATTCTATAACCTACCAAATATTCCACATAAATTGAGTTAATTGACAAATTAATGGGATTATTACCTAATAAACTCATTAATTTTCAATTAAATTATCAATTAAAATCCAAAAATCACCCTAAAAGCCGTTGGTCCTTCTCCAAAATGGGGGCCGGCCATTCCCTTTGATTTCCTACCACAATTTGCCTTTTTTACATTGGTTAGCTAATCTTTTCAACCATTATTTGATTGATTAGCTGATCATGCCATGAAAGTCATAAAAACATTCCATTTATATTGATAATTAACCAATTAATATATTATTCTTAATTAATATATTAATTGCTAAATTAAGCCACCTCCTATCCCTATATATATGCTCCCATTTCCACCAAAAACCCATTCCAACACTTTGGCAAAAAATCCCAAAATTCTCTAAACACTCTTTCTCTCTAAATTCTAACTTTGGCATCGGAGGTTCTTCTGCCAAAGCCCCCCCTCATTCATCGTGGGCGCGTGAGGCTCTTGGCCTTAACCTAAGGTGTTAATTGTTTTGTAGGTGCGAAATAGTCCAAGATCGAGGAGGAAGAAATTTGTATCCACAAATTGGTGCTTTTATTGAGAGCCGAAATCCATACTCGTAGAAGACTCTCGCACAAAAAGGTTTTTTCTTTATTTTCTAGTCCATTTGAATATTTTTCATACGTTCTTATTATTAGAATTTTTTACTTGCAAAGGTTCTTTGATAAAACGTATAAGTAAAATATAATGGCTAGAAATTTAGAAAATTCCATGAGTGAAAATTCTAATGTTCAAGAAATGGGATTGCGGAGATCCGTGAGGCTAAATGCGACAATAAGTGGAGCAGCACCACCACCACGAGTTTCCACCATGGGAACCACCACGGTGGCTACCCCATGGTGCCTTCACCACGGCTCGAGTCGTGCCATCCAAGGCTCACGACACCAAGGCCACGGCCCAAGTCGTGCCATCCAAGTTTGCACGGGCCCGGGCCCAAGCCTCGCATTCGCTTGCATCACATTCTAAGCAACCTGCTCTCATGGCCCAGCCTGCTCCTGACGAGCAGCCCACTCCCGTGGTCCAGCCTGCTTCCGTCGAGCAGCCTACTCCCGTGGCCCAGCCTGCTTCCGTCGAGCAGCCCACTCCCGTGGCCCAGCCTGCTCCTGCCAAGCAGCCTGCTCCCGACGAGCAGCCCACTCCCGTGGCCCAGCCTGCTCCTGCCAAGCAGCCTGCTCTCGTGGCCCAGCCTGCTCCC